ACGACGAACTCCTGCCTCCTGAAAGTCTGTCCCACGAACACTCCTCACGCCACTGACTCCACCTGGGCGACAGAGCGAGACTCCATCTCGAACAAATAAAAAAAATAAAAAAAAAATATAAAATAAAATAAAGGAGGAAACATCTTCCGTGTTTTCTAGGAAAAGAGTTAAATACCTGGACACAGAGAATCCACAGGATGGGTCTCTAACATTACTCCAACAGGGAAGTCGTTTCCAAACTTCTTTTTTTTTTTTTTGAGACAGGAGTCTCGCTCTGTCGCCAGGCTGGAGTGCAGTGGGCCGGATCTCAGCTCACTGCAAGCTCGGCCTCCCGGGTTAGCCATTCTCCTGCTCAGCCTCTCGAGTAGCTGGGACTAGGCGCCTCCACCCTCGCCCGGCTAATTTTTTTTTTTTTTGGTATTTTTTAGTAGAGATAGGGTTTCACCGTGTTAGCCAGGATGGTCTTGATCTCCTGACCTTGTTGATCCGGCCCACCTCAGTCTCCCAAAGGCTGGGATTACAGGGCTTTGAAGGGGCCTGACCCGGCCTCCAAACTTCTTTAGTTACCACTCCCACCCTTGACCCCTCCAAAGCCAAGACCCCCACCACACTCCCACCCCTGTCCCTGCAGGAGGGAAGCCACCAGACTTTCCAAATCCCAGGCTGACATTTTAGGACACTCCTGACCTAAGTCCCCACAAGCCTGACCATGCAGCATCCCCTGAGGCTACAGGGACAAAGGCACAGACTCTAGGTCCGGAGACCAGGCCCCCTCCCCCAGCCCCACAGGCCCTGTGTGCCCCCCGTCCTGGGCGCTGGCATCTCCACCGCTCCCCTGCCGTCTCCAGGGAGGGATCCACGTCATGGACCCGGCTCAGAAGCACCCCTTCATGACTCCTAATCCCCACCCTGGGGGCACATGGCATACACCTGGCTGGCCCCCACCACGTGCCCAGCACAGCTCGATCCTGCCCGCTCTCCACCCTCCCGACAGCCTCACAGCCCTCCTGCCCCTCTCTGGCAAAGCGGCCACTGACCTGAGCATTCAGGGGCTGGAGGGGGATTTTTTGCCTCTTGGGTCTTCCTCCTAAGCGCCAACACGGAGGCTTTGTGGCGTCTGGAGGTGCTGGAGGGGGCTGAGGTGCCCAGGGATGCACAGCTCCCCTGCTGCCACGCCTGGGCCCGGATCTTGTCTCTCAGCTGCTCCAGCCGTGGGTCACTCTTTCTGGGCCGCCACCGGGGCCCCAACACCTGAGGGGGCCTCTCCTTCCAGGACACACACACTTCATGGCCCCCCGAAGAACCCGAGAGGCGGCCCGATGACACCGAGCTGTCGCCATCCCTGACCTCCGGGCCTGTGGACCACATGGGCAGGCTGCGGGCCTTCCCCCAGGGGCCTGGCTCCTCGAGGTCTTCAGACCCGACCATGTGGGGAGCTGCCCAGGGTGGGTCCGGCTGCTGGGAGGGCCACCTCAGCGATGCCACGTCATCCTCGGCTGCAGGTGCGCGGAGCCTGAGAGGGAACAGCAGACACGCGGGTCAGATGTGCAGGTGGAGAAGTGCTGAGCAGAGCTGCTCAGACTGGCCCCACCTCCCCAGGCATTCCTGCTCTGCAGACTGGAGGTGGAGAGGAGGGCCTGGAACATACCCCACCTCAAGGACAGCCCCAGCATTCTCTCTCAAGCCCTGACCACACCCCTCTGAGGTAGGCAATATGATTGGCCTCATTTACAGATGGAGAAACTGAGTCTCAGAGAGGCTGGGCTGCCTGCCCAAAGGCACAGTCAGAGGCAGCCACAGCACTCTGACCCCACACCCTCGTATCTTGCACAGAGCCGCTGCCTCCCGGGGCAGGCATGGCACCTGCCAGCAGTGCGGCCCCCCGCCCGAGTCCATGAAGATGCTACCTGGGCTTGGCACCAGCCTCCCAGTCGGCTGCTCTCCCTGGGGCCCCATGGGAGAAGAGACCCTGCCTCCGGCTGTTCTTGTGGCCGAGCTGAGGCGTGTCCCCCAGGCGGATGGGCAGCGTGCCCATGACCAGGGTTGGCATGGCCGCAGGGCCGAGGGGTGAGCAGGTGCAAGGCCAGCCTGGCCCGAGCTGCCTGGGGTTGCTGCTGCCTTCACATGACGGCTTCAAGGCCTGCAGCCCCGCCTACGACCCTGCCCAGGATGGGCTGGCCGCTGCCTGGCTCCGGATGCCCGCCTGTGCTGGTCCCCTGGCCCACGATGGAAACCCTCAGGTGGGTCATTGAAACTGGACTGGCACGGTGGGCAGCCCGGCCCTGGGCTGGCCACAGCTGGGGGCCTTCCTAATGAGCTGTCTCTTGGTGGGGTGGGGTGGGGGAGAGTTCCGGCTGGCCTGGTGACAGCATAATAACCTTGTCACTCAGCGACAGAGCCTCAGGCCTTCAGTTCCTGCTGGGGCTCTCAGCGGTGCCCCACCCAGCCCTCCCAGGCCCAGAATGACATGCAGGGAGGGAATGGGGCCGGGCTGGGCTTGTGGGGTCAGGGTTAGGCAAGTTTCTGGTTGGTGGGGGCGGGGCCTAACCCCAGGTCAGGGTCAGGCTCAATTCAGTCTGAGGCACAGAGGTCCCAGCAGTTGTGGGGCCCAGCCCAGACATCCCAACAGAAACACATCAGCCGCTACCTCTCAGTTCCATGGGGCTGGGCAGGGGAAGGGACGCTGGCTTCTGGGCTCACCCTGGTGCAAGGCAGAAGGCACCCTTTGCCCACAGTGATAGTGGCAGAGAGGCCAGGTGCTGCCCCAGCTCAGGAGCCCCCACTGGCCTCCTCGGCCCCTGCACACCCCAGTAGGGCCCTGGTGGGGCAGTGTGGTGAGGAGGACATGGTTCTGCAGTCCCTGAGGGGAACTCGCACTCAGATCCCAGTTCCCTCCCAGCTCCTTCCCCACCCCCACTGGCAGTGCCACCTTGGAGCCTGGGGACTCCACCCCACTGCCTCTGGGGACTGTGAGCACCTAGCGAGTCCACCTCTGCGGGGTGTGGCAGTGGCACGGAGCTGAGGTGATAATGAGCACGGATTTGTTTCAGGAATGGCCCTTAAGGTGCCCCTTCCCAAGTGACCCCAGGGAAGGGGGGTCTGCAGCAAAAGACTCCCTAAGCCTAGGCAGGCATGAAGGACGGAGGGCCCTCGGCTCACTCCATAGAACCTGTTCTGGAACCGCCAGGTGAACGCCTGGAGACGCCGCCCAAGCCCAGCCCCACATAGGCACAGGGCTCAGGGGAGGTTCCGAGCCAAACGGGGCCCTGGTCACTGGCAGGCACAGCCACGGGCATCCAGGGCACAGAGGCTGAGCCACCAGCAGCCTCGGAGGGGAAGGAGAGAGGAGCCATCCAAGGACAGGCAGGCCCTGCGTGTAATGCGAGCTGCGGCCACCTCCACCCCCACCTGGCCTGTCTGCACCCTCCTAGCGCCAGGGCATGAGCCCATTCCTGGGATGAGGCAGGGACAAGGATGACCCTCGGGCTGCTACGCCCTGGGGAGCATGTCTGGCATGTTACAGGAAGCTTCAGGGAACCAGTGGTGTGACCACAGGGTCCCCATCGCCCTCAGAGCCTGGACAGCTCTCAGGCACCCAGAAGGCAGCTCCACTTCCAGCCTCCTTCCATCACCTACAGAGCCTGGCTCTGCGCGGGGATCCCTCTGCCACCTCTGCACCTCGGGGCCATCTGAGTGGCGCACAGACCTGGTCCCCCTGCTGACAGGCTGCCACCTCCCTGCCAGGCCTTCAGGCTCCCAAATCAGCAGTGGTCCTGGGCTCTCAGCCCTGCTCCCATAAAGGGACAGGGGTAAGGTCCTTATGAGGTCCTTAAGAGGCCAGGCCTGGTGGCTCCCTTTTTCCCACGAGCAGGGAAACCACCCAGCCACTCAGCAGCTGCCTGGAGGCTCTGGAAGGAGCCGCATCAGAAACGCAGCAGGACGGCCGTGGAAATGCGTTATTGTGGCCGGGAACAAAATCATGACAGCAAATGCCTGGGAACGGAAAAGCAAATCCAGCGAGCAGAGCATCACGAGGTCCTGCGAGTCGCCCCCACCGCCAGCTTCCTTCCTTCTCCTCCCCATCTGCCCCGGGGGACAGCTGAGCATCGGTCCCGCTGGCCTGGTCACCGGCCGAGGCTTCCAGACACAGCTCTGAATCAGGGGACGCACGTCAGCTCCCGAAGGCTGTTCCATCTGTCCAGGACCCTCTGCCGATGTCCGTGCCGGGGGACCACTTACAGCCTGCACCAGCTGGTGCCCCTGCCCTGCCCCCAGGAGACTCAGCCTGCTGGGATACGAGGCTTGGGGCTGCTCAGCATGGGGTGGACAGGAACAGCAAGGCTCCGAGACGGCCACTGGGCAGAGGCTGCAGCCCCAGTGAAGGGGTATCCCCTGGGCAAGCCGGGCCCGCCCTGTCCCCAGCAGCACAGGAGCCCTGCAGCCAGGCTCAGCCAGCCATGTCCCCACCCCCCTCCAGGCCTAGCTGGGTTCATATCTACTCAGACCCTGCACCTCGGCTCCAGGCCCCTCCGCAGCCACACCGCTCCCTCCACCTCGGCCCACCATGCTCCAGTCCGGCTCAGTGAGGCACACGCAGTTCCCCTCTGCCGCCCCTCCCAGGCCTCCCTCCCAGGGGGGATGGTCCCTGGGGGCAGGAAGTAGCCTTGCGCGTGGCACACACTGGCGTGCAGATGCTGGAAGAGCGTTCCAGCGCCCCCAGTGCACCGGGCGCCGTGGCAAGTGCTTGAGGACTTATTTTACACCATCTCAGGGCAATCCCACAGGAGAAATGCAGGTGCTACCTCCACTTAATCGGGGGACAAGGCTCAGCCTAAGTTATGTGTCCAGGGTCCCAGCAGGGTCAGAAGGCCGGGCGTGCCAAGCCGTCCCACACCTTCCATGTCTCCAAGGCCAGGCCAGGGAATAGCAGCAGCCACCTAGGGTCCCAGCATCATGCAGAGCCACTGCATGGGGATGGCACCTCAGCCAGGAGGGGCTGGGATGAAAAGCCCACAGAACAGCCATGCAGCTCCCCTTCCCAGCGACCTTGGGGCCCAGAGGCCAAGAACACCGATTCCCAGACACACGGCTGTCTCCGAGGCTGGCGACGGCCGGCCAGTCGTTCAACCCTCTGGGCACGAGTCTTCCCCGCTGTAAAGTGAGCGGAGGGTCAGCCCCAGCTGCTAGGACTCCTGGGGGTCAGAAGACACGTGGAGTACACGGTGCTCACCCTGGGGCTGGGGTGGGGGAAGAAAGGAAGCCAGGGAGGGGCCAAGACAGCACCTCTGTCCTCAAAGGGCAGCTCGGCGCCCAGGAAAGGAAAAGGGCAGGTTTCCAGGGCCCAGGAGAAGCCCTCCCAGCAGCACCAGCTCCCGGGGGTGACCCAGGTGCGGGGAAATGACCCGCAGGGGACGAGGATGCCTGGGCACCGTGGGTTCCACACACCCAAAAGCATATGCCTCCCTGTGATACACAACACACAGCACAACACACACACAACACATAAAAGTACACACACCACACATACTACATGCACCACACACAACACACCTGGACACACACACCACACACATAACAAAGCACACACACAACACGCACACCACACACAAAGCACACACACATTGCAGGCACTACACACAACACACACCATACAACACACACAATACAGATATATAACACACCAGACACACACCACACCACACAACACACGCACCACACACAAACACACATCACACACAGAGACACACAACACACACACCACATGCCATACACAACACACACATCTCACACACACCACACATACACCACACACAACACACAGATCACACAACACACACAACACACACATCACACAACACACAGAAACACACGACACATCACACAACACACAGACACACAACACAGGTAATCCACATCACACACACGATACACAGACAACACAAACCACACACAACACACAGAAACACCACACACATACACAGATTCACAACACACACTTCATGCACACAACACAAACAACACATATCTCACACAATACACAGAAACACACACCACACATATCACACAACACAGACACACAACACACAGACAATACACATCACACATACACTATACACAGACAACACACACACCATGCACAACACAAACACACACCACACACATCACATAACACACACACAGCACACACACGTCATACAGACAACACACATCACACACAATACACATCACACACACCACACATATCACACAACACACAGACACACAACACACAAACAATACACAAACACAACACAGACAATACACATCACACACATAATACACAGACAATAAACACAACACACAGAAACCACACACATCACACAACACACACACTTCACACAAACACAATACACATCACACATAATACTCAGACAACCCACATACCACACACAGACACACAACACAGACACACGTTATACACATGACACACAGACAACACACGCACCACACACAACACTCGCAAACACATCATATCACACATACACACAACACAGATCACACAGACACACACACCACATGCAGACATACAAACTCACAGACATGCAACACACATTGCACACAGACACACAAACAACACACATCACATCCATATACACACACCACACACACAGACACACAACACACATTACACGCACAACACAGACAACACATCTCATACACTGACAACATCCATTATACACACATTACATGCACAGACACACACCACACAGAGGACACACAATACATGGAAAAACACATAACATACATCACACATGCAGGCAATGCACACAACACACAGAGACAACATGCACACCACACAATACACACAACACACATACCACACACCACACACCTCTGCCCAGCTCCGTGCAGGTGTAGCCTGCAGGTGGCACCTCCCACGGTAAGCGTAGCCGGCTGCCGCCGTGGAAGCCTGTTGGCACTCTAGCCTGTGGCATATGCCGCACTTCTGCTGCGGTCTTGGCTGGCGGGGCTGGGTGGGTGGCAGGGTGGGGGGCTTCCTCCTGGAAGCTGGTGGCAGCTCTGCTCTAATTAGCGACACTGTTTACTTGGCACCGCCTCGCCCTAGAAAAGCAAACCCTAGGCAGGCCCAAGCAGGCCTGGGGGATGGAGCCAGTGGGCCGTGAAGGAGAGGTGCCCGCCACGCCCCTGCCTCACGGGGCCCAGGGCTGGAGACCGCAGAGCCCTCTGCAGCCACGGCAGCCGAGCACAGGCCTGGACGTGGGCATGGCACCCAGCATGGCACCCAACCTCCACGTCCTCAGCCCTGGCCCTAGGTGCCAAGCAGTGACCCCTGGCAGCAGACACACCAGGCTGGCCCTGCCCCCTAGCTGGAGGCTCCAGCCACCCTCAGCCATGCCCTGAGGCCACCAGGCGCCCAGGAAAGGGGAAGGTTTCCAGCGTACCAAGAGAAGCCCGTCCAGCAGTGCCAGCTCTGTAAGGCTGACCAGAGGTGCGGGGCTGACCCAGGTGCGGGGAAATGACCCGCAGGGGATGAGGACGCCTGGGCACCTGGGGACCCATACATCCAAAAGCACATGCACCCGGTGATATTCAACACATAGCACACACACCCGCACAAACACAACATACACATAAACACACAACACACACAACACACAGATACATATACATGCAGTGCACGCACACCACACACAAACACATACACAGACACACAAATACAACACACAGATACACGCACACAGTGCACACATGCCACACACAAACACAACACACACACAACGCACACAACACACAGATAAGTAGTACACACACACCACACAAAAACATATACACACAAAGACGCACAAACATAACACACACAGATACACAGTGCGCACACACAGACACACACATCACACACACACCATGCACACACACAAAATACACAACACACACAGGCACACAACACACACACAGACCACACATCACATACATACCACATGCACACATCACACAACGCAAATACTCAGGCAACACACACCGTACACACATTCACACACAACACACACAGACAATACACAACACACACACACACACACACACACACACACACACACGCACGCCTGCCCGGGTCTGCAGGGCAGACAAGGCCAGCCCGGGCCGCTAGGGTGACTGAGTATAGGCACCTGCCCCTCCAGCCTTGGCTGCATGATGCTGCAGACCTGCCCCATGACGCTGCAGACGGTTCAGACACCAGCCACTCCCCCTGGGACTCAGCCGGGCACAGGGGGGACTGGACCACATGGAGGTGGCAGATGCAAAGGTGGGAAGGAGGTGGCACAACAGCCAGCTATTTGTGAAGACCCTAGGGGAGAGTGCCTGGGGGGAAGCCAGACGGAAACTCTGAAAGGGGTGAGATGAGGTGGAGAGAAATCACAGGGATAGTGGCCCTGCCCTTAGAGGAGTGACAGGTAGGACCCGGGGTCATAGTTGCCGGCACCCCTCCAACCTCTAGGCCCCAGTCCCTGCAATACCCTCGGTCAGCCGCCACGTGTGGTGATGCAGCCCCCTAATAAAAGCCCTGGCCTACAGCACACACAGGTAGCTCAGAGCTGCTGCGAGACACCGTCCACCACAGCCGAGGAGAGGCCACAGCCACGCCAGCAAACCGTGAGGGCGGCAGCCCCTGCAGCAGGCCACCCGTCACCCCCCAGGACCGCTGTGGATAGCAACATCTCCCAAGCCAGCGTGGCCCGGGGCACCCACACCTGTGCCTAGCATGTTCCCCAGGCAACCATGCAGCTGTGGAGCCTGAGACCCGGCAGCGGCCGGCATGGGATGCCACCAGGAGAGGAGCCACGGACATCCCCGCCTTGGGGTGCAGAACGGTCAGCTGGGCCCCCTTTGTGGGGGTACAGCAGTGAGCCTCCGTCAGCCTTGGAGGTACGGTGATAAGCCTCCGTCAGCCGGCTGCCTCCACCTCTACCACACACTGCCCAGTAGGACCAAATGTAGGACCAGGCATCAGCCATCTGGGGCTGGGCAGTGTTTATCCCCATTTCACAGATGGGGAAACTGAGATAGTTCATTACGTGACGACTTCATCCCAGGGCCTTACCTGGGACCTAAGCCCAGACTCAGGGCAGCCCAGTGGGTGGGGAAAGGAAAATTCCTGTCCCGGGGATAGCCTGACTTTGCCCGTAAGGGGGCCCCAAGCCGTCAGAGGGAGCCCCTAGGTGGGAAGACCCCCTCCCCTACCCAGGGAAGCTGATGGAAGCGTGTGGGCTGCTCTCTCCCGGCTAAGTTCCCGGAAAACGCAAGTCTAAGCCCCTCCCCACTGGCCTGTGCCCTTTCACCCCTCCCATCAACCCCAGCGGCTCTGCAGCCCCAGGCCCCTCCTCTGGTGCTTGGGAAGGACTGGGTGGGGCTCAGGTACAAGCCCCCTACTCACCCGCTGGAAGGCCCGGCCGCCCCGTCCGTCCGTCATGGGAAGCGCCCGCGACTCGAAGGCCACTGCCCACAGCGCACAGGAGCCCTGGGAACTGGTACCTTCAGGGAGGGGAGGGACATGGTTGCCAGGGAAACTCCAGGCGTCTGTGTAGGCTCCTCCCCGGCAGCTCCAGAGCCCTGCCGCAGCCCCAGCACTCACCAGGGGCCTCACCTGGATGCTACCCCAACCCCCGGCCACCCAACCCCAGCCCCACCCACCGGGCCGCCAGCCCTGCTGTGGGCGGGATGGGGTGGGGCAACACCTGGGGCGCTCCACCCTGTTAGGCCCTGAGGGGCTGTGGGGGGCTGAGCAGGGGAAGGGTCTCTAGGCACCACCAAGGACCCCACCCTGACTGGCAGGGGGCAGGCATAGACTTGGGGCACCCCACCCACGCCCCTGCTGTGCTCCCCAAGGACAGCAGGGGAGGGCGGGGCCATCAGAGCCCCCAGCAAGCCCTCCCAGCTTGCTGCACCCCTCATTTCTACATCTTCCCCTGGGACCCCCCACCCAGCCAGCAGGGCCCGGCAGCTGCAGGCTTCCAGCCCGGAGCTGCTTCGGAACCTCGAAGCAGTTCTGTGGAAGGGCGGCCCGTGGGGCAGTTCGGACCTGGCTGGGGGACTGACAGAGGCACAGCCAAGTCCAGTGACACCAAACTCAACCCTGAAGGCCACTTGGCTGCTGGAGTAGAACCTATCTACTACCAAAAACAGTTAAAAATCAGCCAGGCTGGGGCGGTCAGTCGGGGGCGGAGGTGTAACGGGAGGGCAGTGGGGATCCCGGCTGCCGGCCTCCCTCTCCTGCTGGGCCCCATGCAGTCAGGGGAGGAGGAGTAACGGGAGGGCTGTGGGGATCCCGGCTGCCGGCCTCCCTCTCCTGCTGGGCCCCATGCAGTCAGGGGAGGAGGAGTAACGGGAGGGCTGTGGGGATCCCGGCTGCCGGCCTCTCTCTCCTGCTGGGCCCCGTGGCCCCTACCCAGGGTGTTGGGTACCTGGGTCCTTGGAACCGGAGCTTCCCCGTAAGCCATTAGGCCAGTTTTTCAACTAAGGGCGCTAATCAGTTTGCAGCACAGGACGCGCTGCCCCCACTCCCCGCCCACTCCCAAAACGGGTGCCTTGGGGTCCAGGGGTCCGCTTGGGGACAGGCAGCCTGTGTGACCCCTGAAAATCCAGGGTTCTCCCAGGGGACCTATATGGCCATGGGGATGCCAGCAGGTGGCACCCTCTCCCCGTCCTGGCGGGGTTACCCGCAGGGCTGGGCTGCTGGTGGAGAGGGTGGGGTCCCTGACACCCATCACCCGCCCCCAAGAAAATGTGTCCCTCCAACCCAGAAAAGCGCGCTAGGAAAACAAATCTGTTGCCAAGAAACTCATTTTGGTGTTCAGATTGGAGTTGGGAGCAAAGGCTGGGAGGTGGCCTGGTCTCTTCAGCGCTCCGGGTGTCCTGCTCCTCTGCAGGCAGCTGGGGGGGCAGCAATCCCTTGGTCCCCAGAGATTGCTCAACACTGTCCCAGGCAAGGCCATGCTGCAGGTGGCCCCTATCCTTGGGCAGGGGGCCGGGAAGGGGCGGCCCCTGCGGGAGCTTCTTGGACCCTCAGCCTGCCTCAACACGGCCAGGAGGTGTCCAAGGATCCCAGATGAGGCCCTCGTGGGCTTATTCCCACCACGGATGGGCTCAGATTTGTGCTGTCCTGGGTGGGCTTTTGGGGACAGCCTGACTTTGTCTATCAATGTCAGAGAAGCAGGGGGGTGTTCACCTGGCCCAGGGCTGTGCACAGAACCTGGGACCTGCAAGAGGAGGCAAATTCCTACTGAGCGTCCGGACCATCCCCTACCCGCATCCCTTCACGTTGGGTTATGGCTCCCAAGTGGCCAAAACGGGGCAGCAGTGCTGCCATGGGGTCACACCAACTCCTCCCTAGGCTCACCTGCTCTCTGACGAGAGGGGGCGGCCCCTGGGGCCTGTCTGGGGCGTTGGCTTCATGAGGGTTCACAGTGTTACTAACAAGAGCCTTCCTGATGACGGAGCTCAAACACTGCCCAGCCCTCGGCAGGCCCCACTCCCACCGGTCCCTGGGGTCAGGGTTCCAGGTGCAGGCCGAGGGTCCCCATGCACTTCAGCAGTTGTGCCAGCCCCAAAGCAGCCTTCCTCCATGTCTACAGAGGGGGGGCCCCAGCAGCCACTCAGGAGAGAGCTCTGGCAGGAGCTGTGTGTGGCTCCATGTTGCTCAGAAGAGAGCCCTCGGCTGGGCATAGTGGCTCATACCTGTATTCCTATACTTTCAGAGGCTGAGGTGGAAGGATAGTTTGATGCTAGGAGTTTGAAACTGTCCTGGGCAACATGGCAAGACCCTATCTCTTTTTTTTTTTTTTTTTTTGTTTCTGAGACAGAGTCTCGCTCTGTCGCCCAGGCTGGAGTGCAGTGGCGCGATCTCGGCTCATTGCAAGCTCCGCCTCCCAGGTTCCCGCCATTCTCCTGCCTCAGCCTCCCAAGTAGCTGGGACTACAGGTGCCCGCCACCTCGCCCAACTAGTTTTTTGTATTTTTTAGTAGAGATGGAGTTTCACTGTGTTAGCCAGGATGGTCTCGATCTCCTGACCTCGTGATCCGCCCGTCTCGGCCTCCCAAAGTGCTGGGATTACAGGCTTGAGCCACCATGCCCGGCCAGCAAGACCGTATCTCTACAAAACAATTTAAAAATTAGCCAGGTGTGGTAGCATGTGCCTGTGGTCCCAGATACTCGGGAGGCCGAGGTGGGAGGATTGCTTGAGCCTGGGAGGTCAAGGCGACAGAAAGCCAACATTGCACCACTACACTCCAGCCTGGGCAACAGAGCAAGATCCCACCTCAAACAAAAGGAGAGCCCTCCCTGCTCCCTGTCCTCCTGCTGTTGAAGAGGCTGCAGTGAGTCCTTTTCCACAATAGAGGGATGTGATGGGCTTTCTCTCACCCTGGGGGCAGGGCAAAAAGTAGATAAATTGGTATTACAAGTGTCTTCGCAAAACAACCAAATAATGCTATGTGGCTTCCTATGAAAAATAGTTCCCTCCCCCTTTCCCAGAAGCAAGCACTCCCATTTCTAGCTGACTCCTTCGGTATTTACTCTGTGCCACCACAAAGCACATTCCTATCGCCGCTCCCCAACCTGTCAGGTTTAGGGGGTCCCCTTGCACCCCCACCTCTCGGCTTGTCTGACCACATATGTCCCTCCCCACCCTCCTCCTAAACTCAATATTCAGAATTTACATGAAAATACTATTTACAGCTGACTCTGTAGGGTCTACAAATACTTTTCCTTTTGTTTTCCCCCTGGATTGTATAATTTTTGGTGCTTATGAATAACTGAACCTCAAATTTTCTTCCAAGTGTCTACATTTCCTGTGTACATGCAAACGTCTGAGGCAGGTATCATCACTTTAGTCTTCTAGAAGAAATTCCTCCAGAATCTTCTCCCCTGCTCCAAACTGGGTTGATGCCAGAGGAAGAGAGGCATCCCAGGATCTCCCCAGCAAGGTCATTCTGGAGCTCCCAGTGCTTCTCCTCTGAGGGAAACCCCTTGTTTCCTGTGTGCCCTCTTCTGTTTGTAGTTAGGCTCCTTTGTTTGGGGCAGCACGTCCCTCAAGTGGCTCCATGAGAAAGGGCACGTGCCTGAAGTTGTCTTTATTCCACCTGCCGTGTGAGCACTGGATGGTTAGTTTGGCTGGGTATAGAAGTCCAAATTGGGAGACATTTTCCTGGAGAACTGTAAAGGCCTTTCCACATTGTCTTCTAGCCCCTGGAGTTGCTCTTGAAAAGTCCAAAGCATGCCAGGCTGGAAATACCATGAACCGTGCGTCCAGAAAGACCCACCAAAGGCTTGTGGCTTGTGCTCCAGGGTAGACCACTTACAACTGATCAAGGCCACATGGCTGGTGCTGGACAGAAGGACACCAGCACCTCCAACGAGGTCAATGGGGACTCTCCTGCAGGCCAGGGGCTGTTACAGATAGCAATAGAGATGAGAAGATCCTAAAATAACAGAGGCCGGAGGGTGACGCTTAACTGCTAAATGCCAGGAGGTTGCAAATATCCTAATTAATGGCAGGGTCAGAGGGACATCGCCCTGGAGAGTTATGGAGATGATGAACACGGTGTCCCTGGGGCAGGATAGATGGGCAGTTGTCAACTTGTACTAGCAGAGTAAATTAAGGATGAGTGACTGAGGGCAGTAGCCCCAATAAAAAGTCACAGTCTTTGCTGGGGTTTGGACCTGAGCCAATCTTTAGACCTGGAACCGTTGACTGAAGAGGTTGCCAGGAGGGACATGTAATATTCTGGTCAGCCCTTCTCGACAGGGACCTATAGGAGCTGCACTGGGATAGGGGACTGCTGGACATTTGAGGACAGTGGGGTCAGGGTGACACGGATACCCAGAGACCCAGAATGTTATCATGCCCCCACATCGGGGCAGTCATTGGTAGAGCTCTGCCCAAGCTGCAGTTCCCAGTGGTCCTTACCCCAGGCTCTAAATAAGGGCTGGGATTGACATGTGGGGAGGGGGCCACTGGGACCCCTACATTGGACCCTTGGTCTGCAGGATAAGAGCACTCGTTATGATTCCCATGGGGAAGGCAAAGAGGAACCCACAAAACTAGGCCCCTTCCCAGCCAAGAGAAGAAAGCAAAGCAGCCTCACCCCAGGGGAGGGAGATGGCGCGGATGAGGCTCTAGGAGGTGCAGGGCTGTCAGTCCCCATCACAGCCCCGTGTAACTCACTGGTCCAGGCCAGCTCCTGGGATGTGGCGTGGTCTCCATTATGATCAGAAGTGGACTGCATTCCAGACTTGGCACAGCCAACCATACAGGCTCGTCAGCCTGCCCCGGGGCCATGCGTACCTACCCTGCCCCAGACCATCAAGGCCTTACTCAGAAGCCACATCACTCCAGCCCATAAGTGACTTGATGCTGCAGGGCTGGGTGAGCAAAGGCCTCTGGGATACATATGCATCCAACAGGGCAGTGGTCTTGGGCAGCAGCGGTGTGCCCAGCACTCACCCACCATGCCACGATGGCTGAAAACCTGGAAAGATTCTGAGGCCTATCTCATCCATAAAGTATTTAGAGGGGCAGTGGTTGGGGTGTTGCTCAGAGGTAAGGGAGT